GCCTTCATCTCTGACGGGGAGGCGGGCGGCTGAATGGAGGATGCCATCCAAATTTGAGTAATACACACACAAACCTCTTATCTATCATCTAATGGCCACTTTAACGACATGATAGTAGGGGTGGGTGTGGGGGTATACTCAGACGAAAGCGTTCGTTTAAAAAGAGATCAGGGCTAGTGCGCTTGTGCATCCGTACCCGCTCAGCAAAAGGAGAGATTACACCACTGCAAACTGTGTGTTTAGTAATATCTCCGGAGAATGTGTCGTTTGCCATTTGGATCAGATTTTTTTTTTTTTTTGTAGGGTGGAGAACGGGAGAGGAAATGCGTCTCTCTCTGTGTGTGTGTATTCGCCCTGGCAGACGGATAAAGCTTATGATGTTGAAGCGAAATGAGTCTCAATTTGGATTTCTCTGCGATTGGTTCTTCTAGTTTTTTTTATTTTGTGGTGGGTGATAACTTTTATCTTGTTTTTTTTTCTCCCACTTTGTGCTCTTGCTTGCATGCAAACATGGGTAGCACGGAATAGCGGATGTCAGAGGAGGCGGCTGGTAAAAGCGAGGCAACTGAGGGGACGGCGACGCCTCACCACACCAACACGGTGGATTATAACAACGCCGTTATTCGTAAACGCCCACGTGTGGCGTGTTTGCGGCAGAACTTTTCGAGACAACTGTACCAAATGATCATCCGACAGCTGCACCATGATGGATACCTAGGGGCAGCCGCGGCGGTGGCCGATGCGACGGGGGTTGTGGTCCCACGGTTAGAGACGAACAGTCAGCGACTGTCAAAGCTTGTCGCGATGGGTTTGGCACACGAGGCAAGCAACGTGACCGAAATGGATAACTTTCTGACATATGAGGTGGTGGAGCGCTATCTTGGCGCCTCCAAGCTGTATGTACCGCTGCACCTCACGGAGAGTTCAACGGTGGGACAAATGGCGTACCGAATGCGGGAACGTTTTACGACCTCGTCACTCGGCGGGGTCGTGCGACGCGTCAATATGTCGCCAGACGGTTCGCTGGTGGCATGTGGTGGTACCAACGGGTTGTGTGTTGTGTTTTCACTCAGGACGATTGAAGACCTCATGGCGCTGGAAGAGGTGCGACAGGAGAATCAGTTCCGTGGTTTGGATGGCAGCGGCGGAGGCAGTGGTGGTGGTGGTGGGAACGTAGGGCTGCGTAACGCGAGCAATAAAATTACTGAACTTGCGGAGGCGCGACGTTTCCATGAACACACCCAGTCTGTTGAGGCCATGCATTTTCATCCGTCGAGGCCGCTCTTGTTGACAGGTGGACGCGAGGGGGATTTGTACCTGCGTGACTACAGTCAACCAAATAATAAGGTACTACATAAACTGCATGATACGTTTCCCATCCGATCTGCCGTTTTTCATCCTTCGGGTGAGTATATACTTTACGCCACAGACCACACCGCCCCAAGACTGTTGAATTTGCGCACGTGGAAGTTAATGACACCCACCACAGCCACCAGTAAGGAGGATAATGCGTCAGCCAACATCGTCGCCACAGGCGGGACTGGGATGCCCAATAGGGGGGGAGGCTTTTATAGAAGAGGGACCGATGATAGCCACACAGCTGCTCTCTGTGACGTAGACTTCTCCTTGGATGGACGATTGTTTGCTTCGTGTAGTCTGGATGGTTCGCTTATTGTGTACGATGGCGTCAGCAGTCGCCCGGTGGCCAAGGTAAACAATGCCCATTCGAGTGTACCAGTGACAAGCGTGAAGTTCAGTCGTACGGGTAATTTCATTCTTTCAGCGGGAATGGATTCCGTCGCTAGACTGTGGGATTTGCGCCGTTCTGATGGTGGATGCGGCACAGTGGAGGTGATGTCGTTTGGCGAGCCTGGAAAGTGTAACCACCGCAGCATTCATGCCGCTTTTAGCTGTAACGAGAGCCACGTACTGTTGCAGGATACATCTCTATTTGCCATCCATTCCTACTGTGTTTACTCTAGTGATAAATCCTACTCGTTGGTGGTGCCAAACCACATGCAGCGGGGGTTTGCAGCGGCACCGTTTTGCAACGCTGTGGTAAGCGGTGGCGACGACTGTCGTGTTCGTTTGTGGACACCTGCGTGGGCGGCTGCATGAGACCCCGCCTTTTTTTTTCTTTTCTGTTGTGCGTGTGTGTGAAGACAGAAGGGGGAGTTTTGTGGAGGGTGACAAATGATGATAACTGAGGTCCCCAGTGTGAAGTAACGGGATGAGAAGTAAAACGAAAAAAAAAAAAACTGGAAACGGGAGGACGGTACTACGAGCCGTGATTCCGCGGAGAATAAATTGGCGGCTAGTAGCACTGTTGACTCCATTCACTTTTGTGGAACTCGTGGCGGCTGCAGCTGACGGGCGGGGTGGTACGACGTGCGAGTCCGTCCCCGCGGTGGCACACACAGATAAGCAAACGACGCGCGGTCCAAGGTGATTGCACGGATGTGCTTCGCCGAGGACGCGACGCAACCAGAGACAAAATGAAGGGCGGCGTTCTCGCTGGCGGCACTGCTGTGTGCATCGAACACCAGTCATTCTTCCCTTTCCCCCCATGCCTTGTTTTTTCGCCTTCTGCCGGGCAGCAGTATCTCACCGCTTTTTGCTTTTCGCACCTTTTCCTCTTCGACGCACAACACATTGAGGGTGCCGTAGGAAACGGGAAGGCTGAAGGAGGCGGCACAGGGTAGAACCCCACCAACAAGTGGGAACACAAAAAAAAAAAATCAACGAAAAACAAGCCGCATACAGACTAGACAAGGAAGCTAAACTTTTTTACGGTGCAGCCCCGGCCCCCTCTTTTTTTTTTCTTTTTGTTGAAACTTCTTTTTTTGTTTTTGTTTTCGTTAGCTCATTTTTTGTTTTTTCCCATTTTACGTCGCGTGCCGTGTGCCTTGCGGCAACAAAGAAGTGTTTGTTGTTGTTATTATTGTTATTAATCTGCCCTTATACACGCACCAGCAATGGCAGGTCTCATATCGGACAACATCTCTATTGCTTCAGCGCGCCAATACGGCTTTTCAAAGGAGCGCGACACGTGCGTTTTTTGTGGGAAGAAGTCAAGGCCGCCGCCCACGGACCCGCTTGCTCCCGTCTTTGTCTTTTTCTCTCTTGTCGACTGCCGCCACTACGTGTGCCAGCCGTGCGCCCTCGTCAACTGTGACAACGCCGGTCGCTACATTCACTGTCCAACGTGTCACTCCGTTTCACGCCTGGCACAGACGGGAAAGAAACGCACTGGCCACGACGAGTCGCGTGTGAGCATTGACGATGGCGTTTCCTCCGTCGCCTCCCATGCCTCACGCCGCTCCATGCGGACTTTGGCGGATGACAGACCGGCAAGAAGCGCCTTCGCTAGGGCGGATCGCAACAAGAAGCGTTCTTCCTCCGTCCAATTTATGGCGAACCCAACGGCGTCTGTCGTGCCGCCATTGGGGGATGCTGCAGAGCACAGCCAGGGCGATGTGCCGGCGACTTCGCCGCTGACGCGCGACGCTGTTGAAAACCTGCCACGGGATCCCAGCTACATGCGCCACGAGCGTAGGAGGGAGGCGACGGTAAAAGCGAAGCCCAAGGAAGATGTAGTGGTAAACCTCTACACCATCAAAAGCTCTGCCGCACCACGGCGTCGGTCCTCCAGCACTCGTGCAAGCAGCGTGCCGTTGCCGCCTACTGAGCACCGTTATATTCCACCACCGATACCTTTTGCGCCGCCGCCGCCACTGCGTATTCGCACTGTCGAAGAGGAGGAAAAAGAAGAGACATTGGACAAAAATAAAGATATGGAGGTGCAGCAAGGCGTGAACCTGCCGCTTAGCAGCATCGCTGATGAGATTAGGGAAAGCCTTCTTGCCTCGCTAGCAAAAGAGGCCCAAGAACGCTCCACAATTGCGACGGCGGAGGAGTACCGCCGCAATGCCATGAGTAAACAGCGTGAGATTCGAGAAAGGGATATATTTGCGGCACGTGGAAGTCTCAGTAATGAGTTTGACGTTCGTCTCAGTCCTCGTACGCCTCTTGACGCCTCTGACGGTCAAGTGAGCGCGACTTCTGACGATGAGACACCTGCAGGCCCGCGCGGGAAACACCCTCGTGGGGTCCTGCACTACGACAAAGAAGAAACACCGACGCTTTCGGGGGCTTTATTGGAGCCTCCAGCTCATTCTCAGGGCATGGCGACGACTGGAATGGACCCACAGAAACTTGAGACCACGGAAGGCGCTGACGCGCGTGAAGGCATAGAAACAGAAGAAAAACTTGTGGAGCTGCAAGAGCTTGCGAGGCGTGAGATGGAGCATCAAATAGAGCCTCTGCACGTTGAAATGCTGTCCTCAACGCAGGTGGTGGTGGCGCTGGATGAGATTGAGGTAAAAGAACGAGAAATAATAGAAGGCGTAGAAGCTGTGGAGCGCCGCCTCTTGCACACCGCCCGATTTCAGGATCAGGTGGAGCGAAGTGCGTTTGAGGTTCAGAGATTGTCTGCCGATCGTAAGGCGCAGGTGGCAATGGAGTACCTTGCGTATATTTTTAAAGAGTTTGAAGAGCTAGCGGCGAGTGAGATGGAACATCGGGCTTTCATTGAAGAGCTGCAGAGCTCAAGTTGGTTCCCGTTGGAACGTGACTTCCATGCCTCTTTGAAGGGGATGTTCGAGGTGGAGATTCTCCGTTTGACCGAGCAGCGCCAAGTGGAACACACGCGGGCATCCATCACGCTGACAACAAAAGAGACAACAGCTCGTATGCGGCTGGGTGAAGCTGCACTGAATGAGCTCACACGCCTTCACATGACAGCTATGGAGACCCTTGTGGACTGCCGTCGTCAGCTTCAATTGAAGGAAATGCGGCGTGGGGCCTCCCGCATTGTGGCAGAGCAGCAATTGTATATGCAGCTGTTGTACGCTCTTGCGGCGGAGGAGGATGCCAAACGGTGGAAGGTTCTTGAAGAGGAACAACGTGATCGTCACGCGGAATGGACCACCTTCATTACGACGATGCCCACCCTCAGGACCGCAACAGCGTTTCCAAGTACTGATGCGTCTAGAACCGCGCTCCGAGAGTCAAGATCCTCGTATGCCCCTGAATTGCCTCACACCGTAACGACGATGGCGCCAACCTCGGTGGCATCTCAGTACGTTGCAGCATTGGTTGAAGAGGCGGAATTAGAGGCTTTGCAATTGCAGCAGATGGAGCGACACGAGCGCCATGGGTTGATAAATGCGTTTTGTGCTCTGTCGCAACGTCTTAAGGCCTATGAGGCGTCGATGGAAATAACATACCTGGACACACCTCTCTCACAGCGTGCCATCGTGAATGGTCAGCGACGTCTGGAGCTTCGAGAGGAGGAGAAACGGATAGAGTTGCAGCAACGAGCATGGGCTTCATTTCGTTCCATCGTTAACAAGGCAACGGAGGAGCAGGAGCAAATTGCCACAATGGAAAGAATGCTGCGAGCCATCGCAGAACGGTCGCGGATTGTGCTACATCGCTGCTTTGGCGAGGCTGAATTGGCGCTGATGGATGAGGAGAAGCATGAACGGCGGAACATAGAGGTTGAGGAGCGTCGGGCGCGTGTGAACCACGCCCGTGACGCGGTGCGACGCGAAGAGTTCCTCCTTGCTGAGGAACGACTGCTGCACGATGCCTCTGGAATGCAGTTTTTGAATGCAATGGATATTGCAGTACGACAATTCTCCACAGAGGCTGCGCGCATCGCACAGGAGGAGCATTTAGAGCGTCTTGCTCTTGTGCAGGTGGAACGCTTTGAGTTCCTGTCGCTTACACCGACACTCGAGTCGCGGATAAGCCTCGATGAACATGAGATGCATCAACAACTCTCTGACTTTCACTCCACAATAGAAACAACAACGGCGGCCAGTGCCTGGCGTGCCCGTTGCTTTCTCGTGGAGACGGAGGAGCTTCGCACTCGTGATGGCATTTACAATGATGAAGCTGGCGAATGGTCATGGTGGGTCGCGGACGAGCGCCGCCAACGGATAGAGTTGACGTCGCTTGAGGCTGAACGGCTCATGCAGGCGAGAGAGGCGGAACGGTTAAGTGCAAAAATGAAAGAATGTGAAGGCAAAGAAGAGCAACGACGTATTGGGATTAAAAGGGGAGAGACGCGTGCATGGGCAGTTGTCGGAGAGGATGAGATACGACATGCCGCGAATGCGCACAAGAAGGAGGAACAACGGCTCATAGAGGAAGCACGGCGTGAGCGTCACGCCAATCAATCACAACGTCGTAGACGCGCACTAGAGGATTTGTTACAGGATGAAGGTGATGATCGGCATTATATTTTTGAGGACGAGCGAGATGCACGTAGGCGGCTGCGGCGTCAGTTTTTTCAGCACTCGTGCAATATTCTCGATAAGAAGAGAACGATTAGCGATGAATCAGAGGAGCCTAGTAGGAGTGAAATAACACCGGCAGCTCAGGCCACTGGAAATAGCCCCTTAAGTGACCCCTCAGCCACCATGTTTGATGAGGGGCGGATCTGGCAAAAACGACGAAGGGATCTTGCTAGGCAAGAGGAGTTAATTGAGGCGCAGGTGCGTCTACGCGAGGCGCAGCTCCGTATTGAGGAAGAAGCCGAGCGTCGTGCCCGATCAGAGGAAGAAAAGCGTTTGGCGCTGGCAGAGTCTGAGCGGCTGCTGCGTGAAGCAGAGGGGAGGGCGGAGGAACGCATCCGCAGGGCACGCGAGGAGGCGGAGCGGTACGCCGAACAAGAAATGAGACGGGTACGTGATGTGAGTGAGCGACAGGCAGCACACGCGGCAGCACTGCGCGCGATTAAGGAGGAAGAAAAAATTGCACTGGTTGAGGCGCAACTGCGGGCGGCCGAAAGAGCATTGAAGGAAGCTGAGAGACGTGCAGAGGAGGATGTCCGCCGTGTTAAGGCGGAGGCTGAAGCATTTGCGGCGGCTGAGGCGCAGCGCGTCGCATTGGAGTCGAGGCGGTTGCTGCAAGAACATCAAGAAGAACGGGAGCAACAATTGCGGCAGAAGGACGTTGAGGTTCAGCAGCGGCTGCGGTGCATTGAGCAAGAGGCGCAGGAAGCCATTTTGGCGGCAAAGGCTGAAACAATTCGTGCGACAGAAGAGGCACAGCGTCGGTTGGAGGAATTGGAGGCACGCCACCTGGAGCGGGCGGCGGCTGTGGATGCTGCGAAGGAGAGTGTACGTGTGGCTCAGCAGCGCATGCAGGAGTTGGAGGAATCGCAGCAGTTAACGTCGCCGCGGCCATCCATGGCGGTGGCTGTGGAACAAACAAATGTACCGCAGAAGTGGCCCCGGCTTCGGCGTCGGCGCTGCAAGGATCTCAAGGGCAACTGAAGGATGGCTACGCCCTCACTGCAATGGTTTGCACTAACGTCATTCGAGCTGCCATACGTGAGGCAGTGGAAGAGGTTGTGAAGGCAACCAAAGAGGCCTGGCATGTATCTGAAGAGGCGGAACAAAGACTTCGCATGGAGCGAAGACGCCTGCGAAGACGACAAGCAGAACGTGACCGCGCGGAGCAGGAGTTGCTTGACGTTGAAAACAGAAGCCTTTTATGGGACGAAGAGGAAGGGAAGGAGCCAAAAAATTGGGTTGGTGCAGGTGCTGAAGAGGAGATGTTTGGCACTCCCTTAGGGCAATCTACAAGGTGTCGTGGGCAGAAGAAACAGGGGGAGAAGCTACAGATCAATCCACAACCTCCGCCTGGTGACAGCTGCGGTGTATGCCAACGCAAGGACACGGTAGGCCCTTGCGTGAAATGTGGATTACAAGTGTGTCTGTACTGTGGCCCTGCTGTTCCACACCGTACATGTTGCGAGCAGCAACACATTGACGTTGTGAATGCTCACCGACGTCACCTGTCGCGGGAGCGGCACGAGGAGGAGCAAATGGAAAATGATGCGGAACCAAACAAGGGAGATGAATCATCATTATGGGAGGTAGGAGACCTTGCGGGTATTCTGCCACAACGAGGTGAAATGGAGACTTCACCGCTTGGCGTACGTCGACAACTATTGCCTGATGAAAGCAGCGAGGCGAAGACGGATGACTACGAAGAGCACCCTGAAAAAGGGGATGTGATGAGGGAAACGAAACGGCCCGAGACTACTGGAATGGTGGAGGAACCCAGGACAGAGCGAAAACGGTATGAAGCCTTCTTTGTGCCGTTAACCTGTGATGCGGAGCCGAGGCGGCCAAAGCCGCCGACGCCAAGAAATTACGTCCCGGGTGTGTTTACCGCGACGTCGAGGCTTGCAAAGGCGGAGCGGAGGTGCAGTCCGCCTGTGCGTCGTGCACGCAGCAACCGACGCGTGGACCCTGCCACCGAAAAGGAGGCGCGGCAGTGGCACTCGCGATTCCCCGGGAGTGCCCCGAAGGAGCGTCCGCCGTGCTACGCCAACCAAAAACAGTACCGCCAGCCAGATCTCCGCCAGCCCTTCACTGCGTTGCATCGACAGGCCAAGGATCCACTGCTTGGCCGTCTTGACTGTGACTGGCGACTTCGCCGACGGGAAACGGAGCGGGTCGTAATGCAGGATCCACTTTCTGGGTCTAGAGGACCATCCTCTACTAGTCATCGGGAAAGCAAGCTTCCGGCTAAAACAGCGCGCCTGTCGCGAGGCATGGCAGAGCGTATTTCTCCCGTAGACCACTCCATCGAGCTCGATGATAGCGTTAATGAATTTGCCCGCCGAGACCCCAATGGACTTGAACGCACCTACTACGCCGGAAAGCCTGTGCGACCTCCTGAACAGGAGTACAACTCGGATGACGTGGCAGACATGAGCCATCGCTACAATACACGAAGGCAGCATCAGGAACAGTATAGGCCGAGGAAATTGCCGTCTGGAGAAGATGAACAGCATGTAAACGTGCGCCGGGAACGCGTGATTCTCACGAGTTATCATGAATTGCCTCATTACACAGGGACACAGCGGCGTAACGAGTCGGTGCGGTATGACGCACGACAGTGTGACGAGTACAACGTCCACACCACGCCAACGCTGCAGCAGTTAGACCAGCGTCTTCGGCATCTGCAACGGCATCGCGTTTTTGATCGTTCGTATGAGCGCTCCCCTGACATTCATTGCTTGCGTCACCACCTCCATCAAGAGACCGAGAGGAACTACCGACACGCTGCAGCATCTAGTACGGCACGACGGCCCACAGCATGTCATGATCCCTGTATCACTGTTCACCTCTTTCCGAACACCTATGATTCCACGGCAACAACAGCCACCGCGTCAAGGCAGAGGACACGCGGAGGAAGCAGCCGGCGACACGCCAGTCGTATTGGTAGGCGTTCAACGCCCCGGGTTATTTCCCCACCGTGGCGAACAGATTTAAACTCTGAACTTGTGCGTCCTCCGTGGAATTTTGAGCAGCCGCACTCATTTATAGCAAAGCCGTACAAGCAAATTTTGTTGCCTTTTGAATCATAAGCAAGTGAGAGAGGGCGTATGTCCACCTTTCTATCCTACTCAACCCCGTCTTTGTCTGGCAGTGTACGTATATATATATATATCATAGGACGAACGTCGGGGGAAAACGCGGTTGCTTTGCTTTGATCCTCTATTTTATTTCGTTGGTTCCTATTCCTTCCGCCTTGGACTATGTGGGCGCCAACGGATTCAAGAGGGGAGTAATAAATATATATATAGAAGAGAGGGGTCTATTGGTGCTTGCAAGGATGTGTGGCGCTGCTACATGGGAAACGAGAGAAATATATACACATGGCATGCACATATGTTTTAACTTGTCTCCTCTCTCACCCACATTAACTTTTCTTTTTTGCCTACATCACTAGAGACATGAACGAGGACCACTGCACGCTTGTTTCAACTAAGCTGCGCATTTACCCTTACTCCAACTCCATCTCCTCCCCGGTTGTTTCTTCTGGTCAGCACCCAGGCCACTGCAACGTTGCTGCTGCTGTGCAGCGGGTTGCTCTGACGCATCAAATACATCCCTGTCACACGTGCACTTAACGCTATGAAAAAAAAAAAGTGTTGGGTGGATGACGAAGTGAAAGAGAATGGGGAAGTGGCTCGTTGTTTGAGTAAAACTCATAACTTTTGATGGTGTGCGCCTTGTGTTCGTTGCCTGAAGAAGCACATGCACACAAGCATATATATACATATATATATATATATATATATTCTGTACGTGTGCAATTATTTGTGGAAGCAAGCTAAGAAAAGTGAAACGCTCTCTTGCTTACTCTCTTTGACGCTTACTGTTGTTCCTGAATATATGTTTCTCTCCTTTCGCTTCCCGGTTCCTTTGGTAGAATGCGCGATTGCATGTGTGGGTTATGTACATCCTCAGGTTGTACGTCAGTGACGTTTGTCCTTTTAATGTTTGCACCACAGCCGTGGGAGGGGTCACTGTGTTTCTCATTCCTCACGTCTGTCTTCTTCTTCTTCGTTGTTGCCTCCACTGACGCATCTCTGCCGTTGTGCAACTGATGCGGCGCCCCGGTTGAGGCTTACCCGAAGAAATCTATTTACCTCACAAGCTACTTACCGCACATAACAAACGACACACCACCACCACAACAAGGCGTCGTTTATTGAAGCGTGAATAAGTAAAAAAACAAAAACACACACACACACATAAAAAAAAACAAAAACGGAAAGAAAATAAGACAGCAACAAAAAAAGTGTATAACAGGCATTATGGCACTGGTTCAAACGCACCGCTTCAATTGGATGGGCTACGAGGGCACCATGTCCGAGGCGCTCAACCTGGACTTGCTGCGCCACAGCAACATGGGAAGCTTGCGTTACAGCGATTATAATTATCGGCAGGCAGTAGTGGCTGACATCCGCATGCGACTGAAGATTATTAAGCGTGAGCTTGGCCTTCTGCCTCCAGAGGAAGATGTGGAGGAGGGGAATATGGATCACATTGCGAAGGACGAATTCGTGGATGTGGATGAATACGAGGGAAATGAATATTTGTTGCGCATTCAGAGACGGCGCAATGCGCTCCTCTACAGTAAGGGACCTCTTGTTGCCAGTGAGGACGATGAAGCGGAAGCGGTATACTACCACCCTGCCCCGCCCACTGCGGAAGTGCAGCGGCAGGCTGTGCCTTCGTTCGCCCTTGCCGTGCAATCGCTGCTCGTTCGGGCGGGCGAGACGTTTGTTTCTTACCTTGACGGCAGCGAATTTGTGGCGGTGTCGAAGCTGTCGGAACATAACGAGGCTCGTCGCGGTGAGGTGGAGGCAGCGGCCGAGGAGGCAGGTGCGGTGCTCCCGTCAGCAAGCGAGTTTGAGGTGACGTCCCTCCAGGCCGCACTCGAAAAGCGCGAACAGCTGCGGATGAAGCTTGACGCCGTGCGGGCAGCGAGCGACCCGAGTTACGCGTCCCGCTTCGTCCGCGCAGAAGAGCGCGACAACAGCGGTCAGCCCGTCACGAACGTGTTCCCGGAGGACGGCGATGAGAAGAATCTCTCAGCGAAGTTACAGGCAGCGAAGGTACAGTTGGAATCCGCAAGACTGGCGTACAACAAGCGGGCATATGTTGCCGCGCGGCGCGTTCAGAAGGCGCTCGCAAACTATGTACCTCCGGCCGAACTCTAGGGAGCGGTCAGGAGACGGGCGAAAAACCTCCGCCGTGGGTAGAAGAAACAAAAATTCTAGGAACTCATCCAGGCACAAAAAAAAAAACGCCAACAAGAACAACGCCATGCAAGCAGTGTAAGAAACTAAGGGCAGAACGTGGCTGTAGGGAGAAGAAGCGAGGGATAGGTGAAAATGGGAAAGAGACAGTGAATGCATCACTCTTCCCTCCTCTATCAATTCTGTAAAAAGTGTGAAAACAATGCAATCAAACGTTTGAGCGTTTTCACGCGAAAAAGAAACACACACACATGAAAAGATAAAGCAATTTTTGACTTGGTGAGAAGAAAAAGGGGAGATACGGAACCCAAAAAAAAGAGAGGAAAAAAAAACAGGGGGTTTGCTTTTTTGTTTTTGACGGGCTTTCCTCCATTCCGCCGCTGTACGTCTAGAAGGCGAAGGAAAATGTCACCAGTGGGGACGCACCCTAATGCTCGTTACCCGCCTAGGAGGTCACTGAGCACCACACGAAATGGCATGCTTCGGCTCTGTGTGCGAGGGTGGGTTCGGAGGGGAAGAAGGGGAGGCAATGGCTGGGGCGTTTGTGGTTGCCCAGCACTCTATTCTATCCATCTTTCCCTTCTGGACCAACATATAATGCATACACGCCGTTGGAGGCCCACAAATAGGGGGGGGGAGGGGGAACGAGAAAGGGCGAAGAAAATGAACCAAGGAAATCTGTCTCGATCATGTATTTATCTGGATACTGTTCATCATTCCCCGTTGTTATTTTTTGTTTGTTTGTACTTCCTCGCACTCTGTGCAAATATACAATTTCCCTTTCGATCCTGATTTTCATTGTTTTTCTGTGTGTGTGGATGTTTGCTGCGCTGCGGGCACGTGCTCTCCTATGTCATATTGTTTATTTCTCACACTTGCTTTGCTTCTATCATTTTTTTCACCCCGCACTGGTGTGAACGCAGATCGCTACAGGTACAGAGTGTGGGGGGCGTAGAGTTGTGCGAGCCGATGCTCGGTTTATCCGTTGCTCAGCAACAGCAACCGTGTCGAGGGCAGCAGCAACCGCAACAACGGCAGTTTTCTCGTGCGGAGGCGCGAAGATGCCTTTACTGCCAGCAGCAGGGATGCCAGGGCCTACAGAGCTGTTGGTGGCCGCGCCTTCGGTCATCCGCGTCGCGGTTTTATCACAAGGCGCCAGCTGATCTTCCACAGCATTTTTGTGATGGGGCGGCCAAGAGCGAACAGGAGCCTGTAAGCGTTGTCGAAGAAAACCTGCGCACACAAATACGCGTCTTGGAGCGTGAGGTGGAGCTGCTCCGAACTGGCTTTCAGAAGGTTGCGTCTATTAAATGCCACGGCAAGACTGACGCCGCCACTATGACTAGCCCCGCGCCGACTCTTGCCCCTGAGCCCTCCTCTCTGTTATGCGGTCACAATGCTGCGGTTAGTGGTAGTGATATTTCTTTGCCTAGAGGTACTGCCGCTCCCTCCTCGTTTTGTGGTGGCTTGCAACAGCAGAAGGAGATGCCGCCGCCACCGCAGGAGCAGAAAACCTTAGAGGCGTGTAATGCTAATTTTTCCCATTTACAAGGAGTATTGGGAACGGGGGGGTCAACTATAGTTAACATGTCTGCCTCACCGCCACTCCAAGGAGTTGCAGGGGGGAAGGACATGGCAGAGTTAAAGCAGCTTATGTGCGAGTTGACTGCCCAGAACGCCATTCTCTGCAGGAAGCTGGCGGAGATGAAAGTTGTTGTGGAGCAGCGGGACGAACTTTTACAGTCCATTGTGGTGCAGGGATTGACGTCCGATGCCGCGCCCGCCTCATCCTCGGCGCAAGCGTCTACACTTCCTTCACTGCCCAGCCAGCCGAGAGAATTACTGTTGCATCTGATGCAGACACAAGGGGAATTAACCTATTTTAGGGAGGAGACGCGGCAATTGAGTGTAGCACTAAAAACTTGTGAGAAGAATCTTCAGGATAGCAACACGCTTGTAGAGGAGCTTCGACGACAGCTTCGGCAGTTGACACTTTCTTTGAAAGAGGACACTACTGCTCCTACCGTCAATACTAATGCCGCCGCTGCCGCCATTACCACCACCATGCCATCCCTGCTGCCACCCCATGCAAGTGACTCTTCACCGCCCACGATAGCGGTAGTCGCGTCAGAAGCCAAAAATAAAGGATCCACCGTCAGTGCCAAGGATGCTTTCACCGCTGCATCAAGAGGAATGATGACAGCAGACGCGACATCACTGACGGTGGAGGTGCGTGACCTTCAGGAGCGCTTGGCAGCCGCAGAACGGAAGGTTCTCGCTTGGGAACTGTGGTATAGGAAACAGCCGCAGCGGCCGTCATGCAAGGAGAGGGAGTCACAGACAAAGGTAACGAAGGCAACTGCGGCTGTACACGAGGGAGGCGCAGCTCCGTTGAACTGGAAAATGGTACATCAACCACCCAAAGTGTTGATTCGTGCTTTGCCTCTGGATGATCCAACACGTTATGTAAAATTGAGTGGTACGCCCTCGTGTAAGCAAGAAACGGTGTCTGATGCATTGACAATTGATACCTATGCCCTTATAGCACGGGAGTCCGCCTTGCGTCAGGTAGCAGAGCAGGAACGGACCAATCTCCTGGCTGCACTCAGCATGGAAGGCGTAACCGACACGGATCAGGAGGAGTGAGAAGGTAGGTGCTTGGACCACATCATAGAAAATGGGGAGTGAAGGGAGGGAGGGGGAAGATTTTTTTTTACATCTACAACATGTGAGAGTGTCCAGGTGTGCTTACAGACGTTTTATGTGTGTGCAATATCTGTGTGTGCTTGTATTTGGGGAGAATTGTTTGATTATTAAATATTATTACTCTTTCCTTTTTCCTCTTTTTTTTTCCTACTCGTAAAACACTATGCATCCGTACGTGGTGTGAGGTGAGGCGCTGCTGCTTCCACACCAGGGAAAAATAAGGCACGGGGAATCGTGGTGCAGCTGAGCCTGGCAGGTTTCGCTCGCTACACTTAATGTCTACACTCTCATCAGTGTCGAGCCGAAGCACATATGATGAGGAGACGGAGCATTTGATGAACCCTGTGGCTAATGCCTCGCAGGCTGACGAGTCACTCTGCCAGGAAACTACGGAACCGATGACACAGAAACTATCACAGGCGCCCTACGCCGTTAATCGTACCGTAACAGAGGTGACGACAATGGGGCATGCCGTTCGCGTCCCTCAAGCACTGCGGGCGGCTACACGGCGTACGATGCTTGATGTTATCACTCAGCTGCGGCGCCAGAAAGATAAGGATGCAGCTAGTTTTCCTGGAGCTTGTCTTACATTGCAGCCCTCATGCAACACACGAACTGAACTTGACAATAGCGGCATTCTGGCAGTCACGGATGCAGCGGCTCCTTCTCTTCTCTCCAATACAACTCAGATGGTAACGAGCAAGACAAACACGCTACATTCAGACCTCAGTCGGAGCCTTCGCCACCTTATACCTTCCTACCGCGCTATGTCAGGAGGTTTGGAAGGGCAACACGAGCAAGCTATAAACGAAGACAACATTTCTGACTTTGACGATGACAACGAGGTTGGTGAGCGTCCATGTCAACTGCCGCAACGGGGCTCCTTGGAAAGACTCTCCACAGCCGGTCGTTTGCCTCAGCGGCGCTCGTATGATTCTACGGTCTCCGAGGAGAATACGAGACGGTATACAGAGCATCATCGGGCATGGGTAAGGCTATTCGAGCTTGACGACTCGCAGCTAGAAGAACAGGTCGGGGGTGCAGAACAAACCACTGTGTTGCCGGCGGCGAAGGGCACACCTGCACCTCGCACCTCCACGAACTATTCTTGCCCAAGCGCAGGTGTTGTTCAAAGTTTTTTGACAGAAGCTGAAGATGAGTTGCGACAGACGACGGGCAGCCGTACGTCGCTAGCAACTCTACTCAGTGAGGCAGAAACCCGCGATGAAGAAGCTTGTGCCCAGTCCGTAACAGTTGCCGGTTGTGTCTCAAATACTGATGAGAGGCTGCGTCGGTTCACAGATATGTTGCCTGCGGAGGAGGCCAAAGACAATCATATGCCTTCTCGTCGTTCTCTTGGGAAACCTGTGTTTTTTACGACGATTCCCACAAATGGTGGTGGCGCATCGGTGTCAGCGGCCTTTGCACTGTTGCAAGGTGCCGCAAAGCGAGTTGTGGGCCGTGGGGGAATAAACGCAGTGCTAAAGCAATTGTCGGAGAATCCGACATCAGCACGTGTTGTTGCGTATCTGGCGCACTCCTTTGAGGATTGGAAGCTAGATGCCGCCCTCATACATCGTGCAGACGAAGAAACCGAACCGCATGATGTAGCCTCCGTCGGGCCCAGTTTGCTCGAGTCAAGCGGTGTGCAGCTTAAACTACTTGTGAAGATGGTGGAGAATGCCTTTTCTCTCTACTGCGTACGGTGTGAGGTGGTGTGGGCAGATGCACAAACGTCAAGGGAGCTTTGTTGTGACCCAGGTGCGGCGGATGTTATCAAATCCGTACGGGAGCAGCAGGGCGATGAGCAGGAAGGAGGAGGAGTTGAAGAGGTAGTGGGGCATAATGCTTCAACTGCAGCGGCGATATGGACCGTTGTTCTCACGACGGCTGCATTCCGCTCCACCCCCGTCGTTGTGGGGAGGCATCTTTATTTGGCAAGGCCCTTTTTTTGTTACCCTGCCATCTGTGCCATCGTTGCCTCGCTGAACGTCACCTCGGACGCGGCCGTGCAAAAGGCGCATTCAATAACCCGCCGCCAGCGTCGACCACGCGACGCGGATACGTTGGAGGCGCACACCGGCGGTCGCGCTCAAGGTGGCGGCGATCCCTGCGGCGAGGAAATGTCGGTTGGTGCCACAACACCGCAACGAGCCTGTAGGTCGTCTGCATCGTTGACGGCCGTCTCGCCGTTCCGGGCGTATGACCCATTTGTCAACCCACCGACAAATTTGTTTCGCAAGAACACGGCTGCTTTGGGCTCCTCAACGACAATCTCGCAGGGCCTCCTCCAGCGGTCTGCCTCCACGCCACGAAAGACCACAGTGAACTTGGAGGGTGATGCTCGCGGCCGACTTGTGGCTGCCCGGTCGCAGGTGGTGGTGACCTCTGACCCCATCGGAATGCACTTTCCCCGTGGTCCCGGTGAGGAGTGGGACGTGCCACTGGAGATATTACTGTCGTTGTGCCCACCGCGCCAACGAACAGGCTCGAAAGAGCTAGGGACGGATGGCAGTGAGACGAACAATCCATCCGTAACACCTAGAAGAATCTGCAACAAAGAGTCCTCCTCCCTCTCCTCCCCCTCTTCTATTGACGTTGCGGCGTCTTCGCGTGCACTGATGTCCCAGCCAGAGGGGGAGAACCGCTGTGACAGAATTCTGTTAAACGATTAGCGAAGATCTGTGGTGGGAATTCCCTTTTTGTGGTTTTGTCCCCTCGATTGCTGTTGACAGCATGCATGACGGGTGTCGTTGCCACCTATCTAGCGAGAGTGTAGTCTAGAGAATAAAATGTGAGATACCCTCAGAGCCATGTTTCTGGAGCAAGCTTTCTTTGCCCTTATCTTTCTTTCTTGTTATTTCGCTTTTATTTTTTATGTCATTTATTCCAAAGACGAAATTAAAAAAAAAACACGCAGACAGGAATCAAACAAAACAGACCAGAGAAAGAGAGAGAGAGAGAGAGAGAGAAAGCATCTGGAATGAGTTTGCATGAGATAAAAGATGTGCTGCTCAGCGAAAGCGTGGTGCGGCTTCCGCCGCAGTATGACGCGACCGACTTTCTACAGCTGTGTTCACTTAACGAACAGTACCGGATTCTTGCGAGCATCTGTCGTAGTGAGAGCCAACGCCTGTTGCGGCGGTTAGACAATGACTGCAGCGCACGCCACAGCGACGGTAGCGTGAATGCCACCGAGAAAGCTGAGCAGCAGCATGACGGCATCCCCGACGTTTATTACTCAGCCCGTCTCCTTGCCTTCATGAGTGGTTGTGGGCAAGAAACAGGGGCGTTGAATATACTCAAAAAGGAAGGCCTCCGTCAACAACAGCAGAGGGAGAAGGAAGAAGAAGAACAAGGAGAGCTGTCACGGAGATGTAAAGATCATGAGGTAGAAGAAGCGGAAGCGGCCGAGCGTGCACAACATGCTCAAGAGGAAGGAGAAAAAAGGGATGGATACGAAACGGCCAATCAGGAGCTTTGGTATAATGAAGAGGGAGGTTACTACTACGACAGCTACGGCTACTACGATGCGGAGGGGAATTATTATAACTTTGAAGGGGAAGAGGCAGGGGAGGCGGGACAAGAAGCCGAGGAAACAATCGAAGAATTAAGTGCACAGGTGCAGGAAGCAGTGATTGAAGGCATGCCGCGTGAATCGCAGCATAGCAATGAATTAGATGGCGATTCAGATGTGAAGCAACTCGCGTATCGCGGAGATGCCTTTGTAGCAGAGCTGTCCCGCCCAGTGAGTGATGTTGTGGTGGAAAAATTGACAACTTCTCTTCGTGTGGTGCCCGATGAAAGTCAACTAGCGCTATCTCCCTTCTTTCGTGGCGTATGCGCTTTGGAGCGTGTCTTCCAAGTTCTTGAGCAGTCACTCACTCCTGTGGATGTTTTTCTGAGAGATAATGATCTGTTTCCCTCAATTCCAGTCTGCACCGTTGCCAACTCAAACACCGCTTGGGAAGGGACTATTGAGAAGATATGCCCCGAATGCATTCACGTTCTTGCCACCAAGCAACATTTGCATATTGTGTATGTGCCGACCCCTTTCAGTAAAGGGCGAGAACAACACGTAGTAGACGAACAGGGAGAGAACTTGGGCATTGTGGCACCTTTTCTAGACTTCACAATGCAGTCCGGTGTTCTCGTTTCTATTCCCCTGCATAGCTGGTATGGCAGCTGCACCACCTTCTACGGAGCTTTAGGTGACGGCCGAGTGTTGTTTGAAATGCATGTGGCACCATCGGAACATGCGGCAACAACATACCAAGGAAATGGAATGACGCTGTCAATGATTTTTGGAATTTCTCCTGATGCGTCTTTTCGCGCTGCACCGCTGGCTTCCCGCCTCATTGAATGCTACCAGCAGCGCGTGCTGCACCACCTTGCAAAAAGTGGAGGCAATTTGGAAGAGTTAATCCCTCTTCAATTAATAAACGCAAATAGTGGTAGTCTCTACGCATCCGACATCTTGCAGCCATTGTTTGGCTACTCCGCCTTGCTGCTGTGTAAGGACGCTGGAAATACTTACAACATCAACACGATGGGCGAGCTCGTGTACGATGCTGCAAGCAACTCAGTGTTTTTTAGCAAGGAATACGGGGTGACTGAACGAGAGGAACTGCGATTGGAAGAGACCCTTTACCTTGCTCGAAACATGGAGCCACCGCAGTGGTGTTTTTTGCGTGAGGCACTTGACAGGGTGCAGCAGCAGGAGTCTGAGGAACGCGAAAAACTGAACGCGGATGCATGGGCCTTCTATCGGCGCGACCACCAACCTTCTTTTCACTACGTTGCTTTGTTTATACTTCCCTTTCTGCGTATGCAGGAGGCGTCAATGGCGGAACTTAAAAAAACTGAACAACGTCAACGGGAGCGTCTTTTTCAACAATTTTTGGACCGTCGTCGCCAGGTTTATGCTGAGGAAACACGACGCCGACTGAATGAGCAGTTTGCGTTCGAACGGCGACTGCAACTGCTGCAGTGTTCCATCGACTTTGATGTGCTTGTGGAACGAGAAAAGGCCATGCGTGCGATGACAGAGCGGGATGAGGTGCTAGAGCGGCACAGCGGTGAGCTGCAAGAATGCTTGCTCACCTTGTTGACCTGCCAACGCATGGGAACAACTCGTCAGACGACACCTGTAAGGGAGGAGGACGTGATTTTTGTCGCTGGACGTGGGGAAAAGAGGGCACTGAGACATATGGAGAAACGGTTTGGGCGGGAATTGAGCCACTCGCAGGACCCGCAGCAGAAGCGACGCGTCTTGGGCCACTCTGCACAATCCCTGGCAGTTGACGATTTTGTGCAGATGGTTGCGGACGGGCACCGTGGCCCCCCTTTGCCATGTGCCTCACGCATCTGCCACGGTAACTTTATCTTCCCACGGTGTGGCGATGAAGTGAGTGTGAGAGGGAGTCCCTGCAATGTGCGGGGAGGCAGTGGAGAGAGAGAAAAAAAACGAGGACGATATGTTGGGATAGTGGAAAAAATGGGTGAAGAAGAACAGGTGGGGAGGGAGGGTGAGAGAGGCCTAGAGGGAAGTGTGGTGGATAGAGCACATGACCCCCAGCGCACATATCGTAGTTCAGTCTAAGTAGCGCATCTTGTGTCTTATTATTATTTTTTGTTTGTACTTAGTTTTTTTTTTTTTTGTTTTGGTGCGGGTGCGAGTGCGCACGCGCCTCACGTCTGGTTTATGTTAATGGGCGACGCTGCAGACTAAAGCTGCTGAGAAGTAGACACTGCTGTTTGTGCATGCGTGCGTGTGAGGAAGTGGGACCGCTTTGTGCGGTTACCGGCACGAGAGGGCGAGACATTCACGCAGCCCTAACGTCGCCACCTCCCCTTCTTACTTTCTTTATTTCTTTTCATATATATTATATTATGTTGTTTGCCGCGTGGATGCATGCATCTACCATCGCCCACCACACTACAGCGAAAGCTCTCAGCTTTACGGCACGCGCAACGAGAAATCAAAAGCATACAAAGAAACAGAATAATACAAACGCGGCACTATGGCGAACGGTGTGACGGCGAATGCGATGCGTGTGAGTGTCAAGGCACCCGACTTGGGTGCCTTCCCCCTTGACCATTATCACGAGTGCACAAACGAAATCGAGGCCTACTATAGGTGTCTGAAAACTAATAACTACATTGCACCCATGTGTCGCGATCAGGTGCGGACGTATCTGCAGTGCCGCATGGATCGCGGATTGATGAAGCCGGCGGACCTCGACGGCTTTGGTATTCCCATGACGGAGTTTGTCCCAACTAGGCAGCATCGAATTGATTTAAAGCAGCAGTGGCTGCGGCAGAAGATGAACCAAGTGACAGCGGTGTGGGAAGAGAACTACAGGAGAGACGATCTCCAGGTCCCGGACGGCTACGAGCGACATAAGGGAGGGGACCGTGATGATGGTGGTGGTGGTGGTGTGGATGGAAAAACAAAGGGTGAAAGGAAGAATACATAAGGGAAGGAAGAAGTAGTTGGGGTGTTTGCACAGTCAATTGGTTTTGTTGCACTGCTGGCGGTGGGTGGGTGCACGAAAAGGAGAGGAGGTGAAGAGCGTTGGGTGGAATTGCAGAGCAGTTTATTTGGTGATGGTGCATCTTTCCAGAACACTGGGGGGCACTTGGTGCACGGGTTGGAAAAAAAAAAACCGACGAAAAAAGACATACATATATATACATATACATGAAACAAGGCGGCTTATGATGTGTGTATATGAGGTGGGGTGGGGTGGGAAAGCACTTGTGCATTTATTGGGGTTTCTACCCCGTTACTGGCGTCTCCGCGGCTGTTTCTCTTATCTTTTATAGAAGAGAGAGGTGCATATACGCCTTTTCAAGAGAAGCAAAATAGGCAGAGGAGTAATAACGTTTCTTTAGTGTCATATATTCCTGCGTTGCCTCGTTTGTTTTTTGTTTGCTTTTGGGTGCATCTGTGTGCTCCATGAGCACTGAAAAGCGGCCAGTGGTCCTTGACAATGGCAGTGGTTTTATAAAGTGTGGCTATGCCGGCGCCAACTTCCCCACTGCCGTTTTTCAGACTTCGCTTGGTCGCCCCGTGTTGCGATCAACAAAGCACTGCAACCATAGCAGTAGCGTCGGTGGAAACACGCACGTGGATCCGATAGTGCGTGATCTTATATTTGGGGACGACTGTAGCGGTATGCGGCACCTGCTTGACATGACGTACCCGATTCGAAATGGCATCATTCAGAACATGGATGAAATGTGTCTTTTGTGGGATTATACCTTTGGAGAACGGCTTCAGATAGACCCTACGGAGCATCGTTTGCTGCTCTCAGAGGTGCCACTTTTTAGCAGCAAGTATCGTTGCCATTTGTACGAAGTGATGTTTGAGAATTACAACTTTACGGCGATTCAATCAGCCGTGCAGGGGACGTTGTCCCTCTTCTCTAATGGTCTACAAACAGGCGTTGCGGTGGAAAGTGGAGAGGGTATCTCGCATTGCACGCCCATATTTGAAGGGTACGCCCTGCCCAGGGCGAATCGTCGCGTTGACCTTGGCGGGCGCAACATTACAGAATTTCTCATTCGACTTATGCAGCGGCGTGGGTATAGTTTTAACCAGAGCAGTGACTATGAGACGGTGCGACGAATGAAGGAACGCTTCTGCTACGCGGCAGTAGATACTCAGCTCGAGAAGCAGCTTGCCCTTGAGACAACCGTGCTGGAGCAGAATTTTCTGCTTCCAGATGGATCTTCCTGTAGTATCGGGCAAGAGCGCTTTGAGGCGACGGAGGCGTTGTTTCAACCCCACTTGATAGACATCGAGTGCGATGGACTATCGATGCAGCTGTGGAACTGTATACAGGCTGCCGACATCGATGTGCGGGCGCAGTTGTACAGTCATGTTGTGCTTTCTGGTGGCTCGACGATGTTTCCAGGCCTTCCGACACGTATTGAGAAGGACATGCGTACACTTTTTTTGGAGAAGGCGTTGAAGGGCGACCGGTCACGTCTTAGACACTTTAAACTTCAGGTTGAGGATCCACCGCGGCGGAAACACATGGTGTTTCTTGGCGGAGCGACATTGGCGGCGTTGACAGCGGAGCAGCCAGAGATGTGGTTGACTCGGACGGAGTGGCAGGAAGGGGGTGCGTCGGCAGTGCGGGCCCGTTTTGGTGCCTAGGACGGGAGAAGCGAAGATATTGAACACCTATGCATACGTTTATTTACGTATGGAGGGGGGGGGGGAAACAATATTGTGGAAAATGATGAACGTGTGTCGCATTGAGCAAAAACTACAGTCAGTTGTATTTCATCCCCTACACTGTATGAATACATGTGCACATACACATACCATAGCTTCTCGCTTTGACATATGTATGTGTTTCCCTGCTTGTTGCAAGCCCAGTCTGTGTTGCCACCCTTACTTTCCCTTCTTGCCGCTTACACAAGAGAATCGTGTGAGGTAACAGAAAAGGAAACGGGTGTGGAACTTACACTCACACACATTTGCAGCAAAAGGGAAATCGCATAATTTTGCAGCATGGGAAGAAAGAAGAATGTGGCCAGCCATGCCATCAAGAGTATCCTCATGAAGGAGAAAAGTCTAGTACAGAAGAAGAAGCGGGAAATGGACAGCTATCACGACACACCAGAGCCTGTGCTTTCACAAGTAAAAGATGAGGCCGCCGTGCAATTTCAACGTAACCAGCTCACCGTCGCCGCCCCAATGCAAACAAATATGTTTCTCTCCTTTAATAAGAGCCTCGGACCACCGTTTCACATCTGGTTAGACACTAACTTTATTAACTTTTCAATGCAGAATAAGATTGAGATTGTAGAGGGGCTTATGGACTGCATGCTTGCGAAGGTTATTCCATGCGTGTGTGATTGTGTTATGGCGGAGCTGGAGAAACTCGGAAAGAAGTTTCGCATTGCGCTTAAAATTGCGCGTGATAAGCGGTTTCGGCGGTTGACATGTGACGGCAAGTATGCCGATGACTGCGTTGTGCAGACAGTGACGAAACACCCTATCTACATTGTAGCGACCTGTGACCAGGAACTGAAGCGACGACTGCGTAAGATTCCCGGAGTGCCTATCATGTACATCTCAAAGCACCGCTACACCATTGAGCGGCTGCCAGAGGTTTACGGTGCCCCCGCATGAGGGAGGCAGAGGTGTACAGAGATGCGCATGGACTGTATACAGGCTTAACGAAAGTATTCGAATAAAAGCATCTGCTGAGGCTGCCCAGATGCAATTGAAATGCATTTATTAATTGGGGGGAGGGGGAGGGGGAAGTGATAAAAGCACTGCTTGCTGTTGTCTCCTTCCTATATTTATTGTCGCTGCTGCTTTGTGCGTGTGTGCGTGTGTGTGTTCGAATGCGGTTAGTGTAAGGTGCCCTAAAAAGTGTTTGTGTGACGTCTTGAGCAAAACGCTGTAGCTCACCTCTGTGCCCACGTGTGATTGTTTCTCTCTCTCTCTATCTATATCTTTGTTCTGTTCGTTTTGCCTTCGTTTAGGGCGAAGGGAATCGCTTTAAGGATGACGTGGAAGACGCGTTGCCCATCATTTGCTGCCGCGTCCGGTGTTGCGGCGTGTCGGCATCTCACGGCAGCTACCACGGGGTCTTTTGCACTGGGTGCGTCGTCTGCACCGTCTACCTCAGTACTTTTGCCGTTATCGATGGGGTTTGCCTTGCAAGAGCAGCGGCGGCATCGTAGTTTTCGTTTTTACCTCAACTTGGATGACCCCGCCGAGACACGCCGGCGTGTTGAGGAGGACCTTGCCCGTATCGACCAGGAGCACCAGCGCGGGACGATGATGCATCTTCACGCGCTCCTAAATCTTGCGCTTAGCTGTTATCAATCGCAGGATTACGTTGGTGCCCTTGAGTATGCAGAGTACGCCCACACCAAGACGAGGGAGCATAACAAGAATGCGACACTTCTCTACTTTACCGCCAAGACGTGCTCTCGCTGCGCCCTGGCTCTCGCAGAGGAGTACGAGGCCCACCTGCGGGAAATGGCGGAGAAGGCAGCTGTGTCCTCAACGTTGGCGCCGCCCCCATCTGTGGTGTTTTCAGCTGAGAGGACTATTGCGAAGCTGCGCGAGGATGCGGTGCGATACGATGGTATCGCACAGCGACTGTGCAACCGCCCTGACAAGGCCTTCATGCGAGGCTGGGGATCCACGTCTACCGGGTGGTCAGAGGATGCGAGGGGGATGGATGAGGCGCCGGACGATTTTTTTGGAGCGCGATGGAAGGAACGCCGCAAGCGGCCGGAACATGCGGCAATACGTCAGTATTATCAACAACAACGTGGTGATTGGGGCGGAACGGGTGTGCCGAAGTGAACAGCGGTCGAAGGGAGAAAAAGCGTTGATGTTGCTGTGTCCTTGATTGCCGCTATGCTGCGTTGTAGAGGGGTTCGATTTGTTTTCTACTTTGTTGTTGTTGTTGCTTTGGGCTTCACTCGTCGAAGGTGATTTTCCATCCTCTTGTTCTGTTACTTCTTTTTTTTTTTCTTCTCTCTCTCTCTCTGGGGTTGCAAAGTGGTTTAGTGGAGCGGCACATGTTTTGCGGCCGGGGTGGGGGAGCCGGTAACATATATATTTCATACACATTCTCTGCTTTGGGGGAAGATTCAGGAAACATCAAGCGCCAAAAGAAAAAAAAAAACAAGGAGTGAGGAGTTTGCGCTGAAGGAAGTATATATATATATATATGTCTCACAAACTCGATTTCACTTGCGGTAGTGATGAGAGGCCCGATGGTGGTTCTGCAGCTCACAGCCAGAATAGTGGAGCGGTGCGGCAGAGAGAAACGAGGCGGGATCATGTGCTGGCTTGCGAGATGTCCCCCCAGGTCACCCTTTCGAAGATGGACACCGCTGAAAAAATATTTTTTGCAGTACATGACGCGTCGGATGACCGCCGCTACAAGGTCTTTGTGCGCCCCGATGATATTCCGCGGCTGAAGTTTTCCAAGCTACGTAAAGCGCTCAGTAGCGTTTCAGGGAAGCCGCCCTTCTCGTTTGCTTTGTGGCTTGGGGATGAACCGCTGCATGGCAAAGAGGATGCGAATTGTGCTTTGCTGGGTATTACGCCGCAGACGGTGCTGCGCATGTGTCCAAGCGAGGCAGTGTTGTTACATTCTACCGGGGCCGAAGGCAGTGGTGCCTCCTATAGCAATAAAAAGGTAGAGGGAAGCTCGAAAACCACGGGAAGCTCCGCCGCACATGTAGAAAAGGTTCTGCAAGAACTGTCGGAAAATGCGGTGGAACCTCTGTCGGTGATTAATCTCAACCAGCGACAACGAGAGCTGCAGGCCCAGCTCTATGAAGAGGCTAAACGATGCCACCTTTTCTCCACAGATGACACGGTGAGTGGAGGCGGCAGGGGCGGATACGAAAACAATGACATGAGAGCTCCAATGCCTACCCCTCGGGAAGGGCAGATATTATACTCGTGCAGTAGCAGCGCATCACCTGCTGAGATTCAAGAGGGGCGCACCTCTGCAGATGATGGTTTCACAGTATTTATGGAAGACCTTCTGAGCACGAGGCTCATGCAGCAAAGCGGCTCACCACCGCCACTACCATTCGAGGAATGCTGCCGAGATGTGCCTGGCGAAGCTCAAACACCGGCGGCGGCGGCAGCAGCCCAGTCTACTGTTTGCGCCAACAGTAGCATGTCGTATTTAGAAACAATTTCGCGTGGTATGCAACTTTACGCCATGTATTTTCCAGAGGGTGTCGCTTCGCCTGGTCCACCTGCAGGCGCCCCCAGTGCTACTTTGTCCTCGGAACAGAAAAAGGGGGGTGAAAATGATTATGCAATGAAGGAAGCGTCACCAAGTAAGTATGAGTCAGCGGTAACTGCCTCCAGCGTGATACAAGGGGTGGGTTTGGAGGTCATCAATTTAGTGGAGGAGATGAGGGATGATATTAATGACCTTCTTGCCCTGCAGGTGCGAAACGACACTACCAAGCGCGCTCTTCAGCGGGAGCTTTTCTCTTCACTGAAGCTTGTAAAACAGCTGGAGAAAAAAGAGCAGGAGACACGCCAGCAACTTGACGCACTTCTGCTGAAGCTTCGTGATGCTCACGAGGCGAACGGAGTTCAAATGCTCTCTGAGGAAGAGCTTCGTCTGGCACTGCGCAACATGGCGGCCTCGCATCAGAATACGCGCCTCCAGAGAGAAAATGCCGCACTTGAACAACGGCTTGCGCAGGAAGTACGCAAGCGTCGTGAAATGGAATTTGCGTTGGAGGACATGAAAGGGCATATTCGTGTGTTAGTACGAGTACGGCCGCCGTTTCGGCTTCTGCGTGCGCGAAGTTTTGAGGTGAGGGAAAACAAAACAACGTGTGACCCTAATGCTTTGGATGAGGCACGCATGACGGCGGACGAAGGGCGCAACACGATTACCATCACGGATCCTCGTACGGGTTCGAAGCATTTTAGCTTTTACCGTGTCTTCTCAGAAGCTTCTACGCAGGCAGAGGTGTTTGGCGAGATTGCCCCCCTTGTGCAACTCGCATGCGATGGGATAAATGTCTCCGTGTTGGCCTATGGACAGACTGGGAGCGGCAAGACGTACACTATATTAGGCGAAGAGGGGCGGCAGCACACCGCGGCGGGGGTGACGGCAGACGATTCAGATGAGGAAAAGGAGGAGGATGACGATGGTATAGTCCCGCGCACCTTACGCATGTTATTCCACCAGTTGCGCGTGGAGGCGGCGACGGAGGTGGTTATCGTGCCGCCCGAGGATGACAGATGCCACGATGAAGAGCGCGCCACCTCCACATATGAGGTTTTATGTAGCCTTCTGGAGTTGTATAATGACAAGGTGCAAGACTTACTTGCGCCTCCGCAGCTCGTCGCCCCCGCCTTTAATCTTGGTGGCGGCAATAGCAGTGGCAACCCTTCCGAGCAACGTGGACCAGCACAGGTGACGCCGCAGTGTACCCTGAAGATTGGGCCCGATGGTCTTATGTATGTGGTGGGTCTTACACAACACGTGGTGCGGAACGCACAAGAAGCGCTTAGGGTGCTTCGTGAAGGCGCCTCTCGACGGCAGGTGCATGCCACCCAACAAAACCCCTGTTCAAGTCGATCCCATCTCATTTTCACCGTTTACCTCTCACAGAAACGTCGCATTACTTTGCGGAACGGCACTGCCTTCACCAACGACTCGTCTATTGCCTTTAAGCAACTGGAGAGCAAGTTGGTTTTTGTGGACTTGGCAGGGTCGGAGCGAATTGCCAAGTCACAGAGCGTGGGAAAGCGCCTGTTGGAGGCACGACATATCAACAAAAGTCTGGCGGCATTAGGTGATATCGTGGCAACACTCTCCAACGCGACCGCAGCTAACACCGCAGCTGCGCATGTGCCTTACCGGAATAGCACCCTCACTGCACTGTTGCAGGATGTAATTGGAGGCCGCAGCAAGACAGTGCTTCTTGCTTGTGTGGGTCCAAGTGACCCACCGTATGAGAACCATACAGCCGAGACCGTAACTACGCTGCTGTTCGCCAGCCGCGTGCGGTGTGTGCGAAACGTTGCGTCGTCATTTTCATTTACAGGAACAACTGGGGGAGGTGCTTCTTCCAGAGGCTCTGGGATGCCGAATGTGGAGCTGGATATGAATCACCCACATACCTCTTTTTCCTCGGGACGAGGCGCGACGAAGCTGTGGATGCGGCCGACGCAGTCGTCAAGACAAAGAGTTGGCTCTGTAGGTCGTCCCAGTGTCGTTGCGGCGAAAGATGCGGACCGTGGCGAAGACGGCGGGCGAACACGCTCACCTGTACCGCCGCAGTCACTGAGGAGCAATGATGCTTATGCCGAACAGCTACCGAGAATGCGGTTTTAGTCCTTTGCAGTGCCATTGGCAAAGAGAGAAGGGGGGCGGGATGTACGGAATGAGTAGGGGTCGAAGTAAAAGAAACGGGCTATGCTTCATCGCAGGAACAACAGTTATTTATTATTATTATTTTTTTGTGCGTGTGATTGTGTTTGTGCAGATATGTATGTTTTTTTTTTCATTTTGGAAAATGCTCGTGATCATTCTGATATTGTACATGCGCCGTTGGAAGAACTGTCACTGCTTCAGGCAACCTCTTAAAAAAAAAAAAAGATGAATTGTACAAGACGGACACGTTGTGTGGCTTTACCCGAAACTGACTTTCAGGCGAAGAGTGCGGCACTTACTTTACGTAAGTCCGTATTGCTCGTGTACCAGCGGATGAAAAGGTGGGTCGCTGAACACTGAAACTCGGGTGCATTTACAGGGGAAAGCAAATCTCCTTCTTCCGCCGTACTGGCCCTCTGCAGAGTCTACCCATGCCTTGTCCTTTGCCTGTCCGTGAAAAAAGTTTAAAAAGTTCTTCAGCAAGGTTTTGTTTTGTTTTTGGCATTGGGCATGCTTTCCGTGATTGTTGTTGTTGTTGTTCTTTTAGGTGGGGGGATTCACTGTATAGCGTGCGAGTGTAGCGTGCATTGAATTGCCACTAGTGCATGACCATTTTGCGCGTGAATGAGGAAGGAACGGACTCTTTGGAAGGAAAAGTGGTGACTGTGGCATTGTTTTTGGTACTTCATTTAACTCTCTCTGTGTGTGGAGCTGCATTGCTTATTGGTCAGTCTTTTGAGGGATCTTGAGAGATGGTGATGAAAACCTTTTTTTTTTTATGGGGAATTGGTGTAGCCCTCCCGTGGATTGGATGCATTGACAGGACCGGAAAGTGGTAGGATTAGTAGTGGTGTGGAGTGCTCGCTTCTCATTGCTTTCAACCGTTACTGCATCTATCCCGTTCTCTTTCTGTTGTTGTTGTTTTTTTTTTCTTCTCTCTCTCTCTGACTCTGTGGGCGGGAGGTAGTTTGGGTGACAGTGTGGGTGGAAAGAAAGAGAGGAGAGGGGATGCTGCGGTGTGCGTCGCACATCTGTCGCGCCGCCTCTTTGTTGGGGTACCCGCTGCGCCGGGCGGCCGCGATGGAGATGCTGTACGGCGGCGTGTGTGTGCAGCACCTTGCACAGATGCCTTTCTTTCTTCGGAAAACGGCATCGGAGGCGCTTCCTTCTCCGTCGCTTCAGCGCGAGCGGGACGATTTAGAGCTGGAGGTGAAGGACTCTGCCAACAATGTGATGGGTCTCCGTCTTTTCCCTGTTAATATTGGGATGCGGGCGAGGAATGAGGCGGTGCGGCTGCGAAGCGAGGACTGTTACAAGCGACTACTGGCTCAGCGGCGGTGCGCAGCTGCTGGGGAGGCGTTCCAGTTTCCTCTCCCGTCAAGACTTGCCACTGAAGAACACCACAACTTTGCCACGCCTAGGCAGCGTTACGCAACGCACTTTCACCCACCATCAGCCAAACTTTCTCTCTTCACCCGACCCGTTGACTGTGGGGAGAACTGCAAGGAGAAGACAACACCAGCTGAGGTTGCAGTGTACCACCCTCGTGCGTGGAGGCCTTTGCAGATGTTAAAGCCGATGCCGCACAACTGGAGCCCTACACTGCGTTCCTCTGGGGTGCGTGGGCCACACATGCAACTTATGCAGGAACGACTAGATGGAAAGGGATTTGGATGGAAACGCAAATCCCGCTCGCTCTGGCAGCAAGACATTGATACCGCCGGATTCAGGCCGAAGCGCTTCTTTTAGAGGACAGAAGGGGAAACCAGAATTGTGTAAAGTAACTTTTTGTGCCAAGATTTGAAGTGGCTTTGCCGGAAGAGTAGCAGGCCAGATTGCATGGCTGTCGAATGAGGGGATGTGTTGTTTTTATTCTTGTTGTTCTCCTCTTCACTGTCCATTTTACAACGTTGTTTCGTTTCGAAGGCCTCCGAATGTGTGAGTGCCCAACCATGTTTTTTTTTTTTACTGTTGCTATTGTCCTTGCATTTGTTGTTGTTGGGAGGGTTGAGTGGTGGCTGTTAGTCGCGGTTTTTGTTTTTGTTTTTGTTTTGCTTCTTCCATTGATGGTTTGTCGTTGTGGCTCACCTGCTCTTTCGTTCCCTTTTTTGTTTTTTGATCTTTTTTTATTTTCGTACGATGATGCGTTGTTTCACGTCGTTAGTACTACGACAGTTAGTCGTCTGGCACGTGTGTTTGCAGAGAAAGTGCAAAAGAGCCTTATCGTTCTATACACGCACACTCGCCGGTGGCACCAAAGTTGTTTTGGGTTTTTGTTTTTCAGGAAGCAAAAGGGAAGAATACATATAATTGCCGGAGGATTACTTTGTTGTTTATTTTGTCCTTCCTTTTTTTTTCTCTCTAGCCCTCATCCGTCCTTTTTGCAGTGATCGTTTAGCTTACTGTGCGTTCGTCATTAGGCCCGTGTGTAGCCTTGTCTTTCTTGTCTTTCCTCGGTGGACAATTCGCTTGCTTGCATTCCTGTCACTGGCCCAATCATCTCCCAGGTGGCTGAAGGTGTGTGGCGTACTGTGAAGCGGTAGAAGATCACCACCGTTAAGACCAACAGCAGTAGTCATTTTTGATCTGTTTCGCTCCCAGCGCAGAATCCTCCGGAGTGGAAGGAGAAGGTAAAAAAGGAAGAGAGGCGAATAAAAATGAACGCCAATCCGTTCTATACGCAACTGCAGCCGGAGTATACTTGCTACGGTTCACAGCAGCCGTCCGCAGGTTCGGGGTTTTTGCTTCCCACGGGTCAAATTACTGCGGCGGGATCCGGACCCACAAGCTTTTTGCCTTACCTTTGTGTGCCATCCGGCATGCAACTGCCGCAAGACCAGAAAAAACAGATGCCTGAAGGCAGCATGGCGTCCTCTGGTTGTACGTTGGGTTCAACTCCAGCTGAAGCAAAGGATGGGGAACTCACCACCACTCCTTTTTCCGGAGCATTACATGACATGTCCAATTCAATCTGGGCAATGCAGGAACCAGTTTCCTCTAAAGCTGTATCACTGCCGAGCCTGAGTTCTGGTAGCTCGTTGAACTACTCTTTCTTGGGCACTAATTGCATGATTTCAACATACAACGCGCCTGTAGCCACACCTGAAACCTCTAATCAAACATACCTCTACCCGGTTTCTATGAAGACCGAGGAGAATGGGCAGACTTTTATGCTTTTTCCGTCTCGGAACAAGGAGGTGCCCGACCCCGTGAGCCCTGCGTACTATTTTTTGGTGAACTCTCCTCAGTCACTTGGGCCGCTTCAATACACAACCAGTACGATGCAACCTACTCAGCCTAATCCGATGGTTTTTGGAGCCAATGCATCAGCGGTGCCGAAGAACTCACGTAATGCACCACAGCAGCCCTCACCATTCCAAATGCCTACAGGACAACAACCTCCACCTGTTTCCAACAATTTTGGTATGCCGTGGCCGCCTCATTACACCTCCAACATGGCAGCAATGACAGCAGGGGTATATCCCAGGAGAATTGAAAATCCTAAAGTGCCGCATAAGGATACCTCAGCCTTTACTGCGCATGGTCAGCAACGAGCCAACTACACAAACACGGCCTGCCCTCCGTCACTAAATTTAATGCCATCCCCAAACTTGGGCGGGAATCGACGTCAGTCGAGTGGTTGCTCACATAGCGGCAATGCTACGGTGCAGAGTAAAGACAGCAGAGAGAGTGGCAACAGCGTTAACGCCACCGCCACTTCTGGTGGCAGTGGTAGTCAAGAACTAGAGCGTCAGGGGGGGTTGCCGTACGATGAGGATCCTACGCCTATTGATATTACCAAAACGCAGCTTATCGTGAATTTTTTACCTCAGCTTTTAACCGATGAGGGTTTCCGTGAACTGTTTACCCCTTTTGGCGAGATACACACGAAACCAACAAAAATTATCTACGACCGGGGGGCCCGACGGGGCAAAGGTTATGGGTTTGTGTACTACAAAGATGGACGCAGCACGGAGGCTGCCATCAAAACCGTAAACGGGTTGTCATTGGGTGGTCGTCGGCTGAAGGTTCGATATGCCGATCAGCAACGAAGAAAGATTGATTGTGATAGTTGCGAGGGCGATGAAAAAGACGAAGAAAACGAGGAACTTCACGAGGAGCTTGAGCGGCAAGAAAAGGACCTCGACAGCCGCAGTGGTGTTCAATAAGTCCTGTTGATGAGACACCTGCAACGTTTTTTTTTTTTTTTGGGGGGGGGGGGGGGGTCGGGGGTATTTGTCTTCACCAACGCATTACAGTGAGGCGCAGGGTGTTAGTAGACGAGGACGTTAAATTGGCGTGATAAGTGTGAGAAATAAAACAAAACGAAGAAAATCCACACCCATACCCATATCAGATGAGAACTGATTGTTGCCTCGAAGTATATAATATATATATATATATATATATATAAGCAAGGCGAGGACGTTATTTGGACAG